CGGTGCTGGGATTAATAGTGTGTGCCACCACACCGGGCCTCAGCTCTGTCTTTTTTTTTTTAACAGAACTCCAGTGTCCTGTGATTTCTACCTTCTGGTAGCTTTTATTCTCTTAATTCACTTCTTACAAGTTCTCTTTTTCTCTACCCTGTTTGGTGTGTGTGTGTGTGTGTGTGTGTGTGTGTGTGTGTGTGTGTATGTGAGTGTGTGTGTATGAATGCATGTGTGTATGAATATAAGTATGTGAGAGTGTGTATGTGTAAGGGTGTGTCTTAGTCACTGTTCTATTGCTATGAAGAGACACCATGACCAAGATAACTCTCACAAAAGAAAACATCTAATTGGGGGCTTGCTTACAGTTTCAGAGGGTTAGTCCATTGTCATCATGGCAGGGAACATGGAGGCAGTCATGGTGTTGGAACAGTAGCTGAGAGATCCATCATGATCCATAGGCAGAGACAGAAAGGTCTGGGCCTGGCATTGGCTTTGAAACCCCAAAGTCCACCCCCAGTGACACACAAATTCTAACAAGACCACACCTCCTAAACCTTCTTATCCTTTCAAATAGTGCCACTCTCTAGTGACTAAACATTCAAATATATGAGCCTATGGGGCCATTCTTATTCAAACCACCCCAGTAAATAAATGTGTGTGTGTGTGTGTGTGTGTGTGTGTGTGTGTGTGTGTGTGTGTGTGTGTGCTGGCACACGTGCCATAGTGAACCTGTGGAGATCAGAGAACAGTTCTTAGGAGATGGTTCTCTCTTGACTCCTTGTGAGAACCAGCTCAGATTGTTAGGCCTCTTTTGTTTGTTTTCTAATTTTTTTTTCCCCAGCAAGACAGGGTTTCTCTGTGTAGCCCTGGCTGTCCTGAATCTTGCTCTGTAGACCAGGCTGGCCTCGAACTCACAGAGATCCACCTGTCTCTGCCTCCCAAGTGCTGGGATTAAAGGCGTGCGCCACCACTGCGTGGCTTGTTTTCCGCTTCTGTTTTGGGTGGCTGTCTTACCATGTTGCTGGGCTGGCCTCAAGTTCCTGGCCGTAGCGAGCTTCCTGCCCCAGCCCCCCAGTAGCCGAAGCTGTAGATCTGCAGTTCACTCTAGATATTTTACAGTTCACTGATTTTTTTTTCATGTTTGTGTCTAACCTGCTATTAGCATTCAGTTCCTCATTCCAGCTTCTCATTTCCAGTTGCCAGAGCACTGATGAACTTCTTTTTTGTTTTAATTAGTTAAGCTGGGCTTGAAGGTGCACACCTTAATCCCAGTGTTTGGGAGGTAGAGATGGGTGAATTTCTGTGAGTTTCAGGCCGGCCTGGTCTACATAGCAAATTTCAGGCTGGCCAAAGCTAGCAACATAGTGAGATCCCATCTCAAACAAAACACACACACAATTAATCTGTTTTGTGTGTGAGTGCGGGTACATGTGGGTCACTGCAATGTGTGGAGGTCAGAGGAGAATTTCCGAAGTTGATTCTCATCTCCCATCTTGTTTTTGAGGAAGGGTCTTTTGTTTCTGCCACACTGAATACTCCAGGCTAGCTCAGCTTGTAAGCTTCCTGGAGCTGCCCTCTATCTGGACATAGGAATGCTGGGATTGGAGATGTACACTGCCACACCTGGCATTTTACATGCGTTCCAAGGACCAAACTCAGGTCATCGGGCTTTCGGGGCAAGCGTTCTTACCCACTGAGCCATCCTGCAGAGCTGAAATTTTTAATCTTGTCTTTTAGATCTTGAAATATAGTCATTTGGACATTTGTAGTTTGGTTTATATTTGTAAGTCTTGGCATTTGGGGGGTTGAGGAAGAAGAATCACAGTGTGAGGCCAGAGAGAGACAAAAACAAACAGAGACAGAGAGAGAAACCAAGAAAGCCACACAAACACACACACACACACGCACGCACGCACGCACGCACGCACGCACGCACGCACGCACGTGCACACACACGCACAGAGAGAGAGACAGAGAGACAGACACCACACACACACACACACACACACAGAGAGAGAGAGAGAGAGAGAGAGAGAGAGAGAGAGAGAGAGAGAGAGAGAGAGAGACAGGAGAGAACAAAATAAAACCAAGTTGTGGCCTTCATAACCGGGGTCCTGCCGATCTTTTAAGAAGATTGCCGTACTCGATCCTGAGTTCTCTGTTATGCTTCCCTTGCTGTCTTGGTCATTTTCCACCTCGAGCTAGAGAGCACATATAACAATTGTTCAAAATAATTTTCCCCCTGAACATCGTGGCTTCCTCCTGTAATTCCAGTATTTGGGAGACTGAGGCAGGAGGATCATCACAAGTGTGAAGCCAGCCTGGTATAGGACTCTGTCTGAAAAAAAAAAAAAAAGCCAGTGAAGTCAAAATAATAAGTGAGTAAAAGCAATTTTTGAAGTTTTTTAAGGCCTTAGGGAAAAGGACTTGTTTTGGAATATCATTTTAACTAGGCAAAGATGTGTTACATTTGCTTATGCTGTGGAATATTACTTTAACTATGTGAAGGTGTGTCACATTTATTTCTGCCGCCTTTGTTAATGATGTAAGGGTGTGTTACAGCTGTTTCTGCTCCATTTGTTTAACTATGTAAAGATGGGTGGCATTTGTTTCACCTTGCCTGCCTAAGGCACCTGATTGGTCTAATAAAAAGCTGAATGGCCAATAGCTAGGCAGGAGAGGGATAGGCGGGGCTGGCAGGCAGAGAGAATAAGTAGGAGGAGAAATCTAGGCTCGACAAAAGAGAAGGGAGAAGGAGTGAAGAGAAAGATGGAGAAAGAGAGGGACACACCTGGTGCCAGAAGCCAGAGCGGCCAGCCAGACATGAGAGGCCGTGGAAGTCAGAGATACAGTAGGAGAGAAAGGTAGAAAAGCCCCGAGGCAAAACGTAGATAAAGAGAAACAGATTACAATAAGAGCTAAGCTAAGGCTGAGCATTCAAAACTAATAATAAGTCTCTCTGTCATGACTTGAGAGCTGGTTGGTGGCCCAAAAGAAAGCCTGTTACAATTTAGTATAGAAACTAAATTCAGAAGTCATAAGTATAGTTTGCATTTCATGGATGAGCTCAAACATGGACCAAGGACTCAATTAGGAGGTCAGGGAGGTAAAGGAAAACCCAAGATGGAAATAAAAACACAGAGCAGAAAGGGCTTCCGGCGGGAGGCAGCCCACGGCAGGAGGCAGCCCACGGCAGGAGGCAGCCCACGGCAGGGCTGGCTGCTGCCGAGGGGCCCGAGAGCTGAGGCCTTGGCTCTGATGGGAACATGCCATTCCTTCCTCTCCATTCAACTTTGTTGATGGTGTGTTATTGTTAAGATTTTGTGCTTATGGGGCTGGAGAGATGGGTTAGTGGTCCAGAGCACTTGATGCTCTTGCGGAGAACCCAGAGGACCCGAGTTCTGCCCGCAGCACCCATGTCGGCTTCTCACGTCCACCTGTCATTCTAGCTTCAGGGGATCCAACACCCTCTTCTGGCCTCCACACAGAACACACACACATACACACACACACACGCACACGCACGCACACGCACACGTACACGCACAAAAAGAAATAAATAAATACATCTTTTAAAAAGTTGTACTTATACCTCATTCTGGCAGTCTAGTTTTGTTTATGCTTCTGGTTCCTTCCCATTCCAAGACGACCTGTGTGATGATGGGGTTCCCATGTATACTAACATTTAGGCTAAGGAACCACAGTGAGGCAGAGTCCAGGATGGACTGGTTGGGTCACAAGTAAAGTGAGTCAAGGGAATGTATGGGGTCAGAGGTCCCATGGAGTTATGGGAGGAGACCAAGGTCCACTCCCGTGGTCCTTAAATTCCTTGTGGTACCTGGGGGTTAAACAATAATCCTAGTGGTTCTGGGGAGGGTCTCTAGGTGTGAAGGGAGGGGCGATCCTTGGTGAACTATATAGGCTGTATTTCCTGGCACAGTAGCCACCGTGACGTAGGCCAGTCTCACCAACATTTTGGAGTTGAAGGACCTGCCCCTTGGACAGATGAGGAAGCTGAAGTGAATTGTCATAGGCTTGGGGATAAAGAAAAAAAAGATGAAGGGCTCATTGTTTGAATTTCTAAAAGGTCTTATAATAAAAAACCTGGAATCTGATATCGGGGTAAATGCTGAAAGATCAGAGAGACAAAGGAACAAGCCATTGCCACCTCTCACCTCTAGGACTCCTCAGCCTGAAAAAGCCTTTAGTTCCTGTCTCCTCACACCTTATATACCTTTCTCTGCCCAGCCATCACTTCCTTCTTAGTGCTGGGATTAAAGGCGTGTGTGCTTCCCAAGCGAAGGTATGAGATCTCAAGTACTGGGGTTAAAGATGTGTGCCACCACTGCCTGGCTCTGTTTCTCTCCTAGACTGAGTCAATCTCATGTAGTTCAGGGTGGCTTTGAACTCACAGAGATCCAGACAGATCTCTGCCTCTCAAGTGCTAGGAATAAAGGTGTGTGCCACCACTGCCTGGCCTCTATGTCTAATCTGGTGACTTGTTCTGTTCTCTGATCTTCAGGCAAATTTTATTAGGGTACACAATATATCACCACAGTTCATCAGTCCAAGTACTGGACCCTAGTGGCAGGATCCTGGGGTCACCCACCAAAGGTCAGCTTAGACAGTGGAGTTTCAGAATGGGTTACAGGGGCATGGCCTAGGCTAGGATCTGCCTGTTACAATGAGCCAGTGTGGCTGGGAGCTCCAGGGGATGATGGCAGCAGAATCATTTGAGAACTGAGAACGACCTTCTCTGTGGTACAGGGAATTCTAAATGCCCTCATACTTTGCAATCTATTGGGTGTGATGATGGGCCAATGAGTAGCTGGATTTGCGGGGGGGGGGGGGGGCAGTTCCGTGTATTTTCCTCACCTAACTTGGGGTTTGGTGCCAGCAGAGAGACCCTCAACCTGTCACGGTTTCCCAGTAAATGCCAGTCACATGAGCCCAGGAAGAGCTGGGGTAGGGCAGCCAGATCACCGATTCTGTGTCATGTCCCCTAGGGCCGTCCTCCAGCAGCAGGGCTCGCCGATGGATGCGGCCATCGCAGCCTTGATCTGTACCGGTGTCGTTAACCCACAGAGCATGGGCCTGGGTGGAGGGGTCATCTTCACCATCTACAATGCAACAACAGGTAGGCCCTCGTGTGACACCCCCTGGGGAGAGAGACTTGGCTTCAGTCGTGGGGCACCCAATCCCCGGGGCTGCCTTGCGTGCTTCTTCCTTGGTGTCCTCGGGACTCTTTGCCCTGCCTTTGCCTCTGTTGTGTGAAGCCCTGGTGGGAGACAGTGTTTTAAGGGTTAACACAGAGATGGAAACCAAGACCTAGAACAGGTTGGAGCCATCTCTCGCCCTGCCTCAACTCCAGGGAAGGTGGAAGTCATCAATGCTCGGGAGACAGTGCCAGCCAGCCATGTCCAAGGCCTTCTAGACCAGTGTAGAAAGGCCCAGCCACTGGGCACAGGTAAGGCCTTTGGAAGAGTTCTTTAGACAACCTAACCCACTCCACTGTGCATGGGCTTGTCCAGAGCAACCCCCCCAAAAGAGTCAATATGACTCATGAACAGGCCGTGACACTCTGACATTGGGGACGGCCTCTGAACATGGGGAGACTGGACTCCCTGGCCTCCTGGGATGGGTTAGAGGGTTTCTTTGGGGGTGAGACTCCGAGAAGGGGGGTGTTCCAAGGGGAAGACCAGTCTTGGGGAACTCAGTGGATATGGGTTGGTGGGACAGGGGTCCTGGGTCCATTTCATCGGAGGGCAGAATAGGCTCCAGGGTGTAGCCTAGGCCTGGTTCTGTCTATTGCAATGATCCAGTGCCTGGTGGTGGTGACCTCATGTGGATTTTATATGGAAGGCAGTAGAGAGCCACAGGAGGTCGATGCAGGGGACGCTATGGTCAGACATGGGCTCCAGAAGCTGGGAGAGCAAGTTGGGATGATAGGGTTGCACTGGGCTGAGGACGGGTGCCTATTATGCAGGGGCCCAGTGGATCGGGGTTCCAGGGGAGCTCCGTGGCTATGCCGAGGCCCACCGCCGACATGGCCGCCTGCCTTGGGCTCAACTTTTCCAGCCCACCATCACTCTGCTCCGGGAGGGTTTCCGTGTGCCCCGGGTCCTCAGCCAGTTCCTCAACCACAGCTTCCTGCGGCCCTCCTTGTACTCGTCAACCCTGAGGTGAGCACTATAGGGCAGCTCTCAATTCCACATCTTACCTAAGCTCAGCCACTGTTGAGCTGTGCCTCAGTCATTCCTCAGCTGGAGGGTTGACCCTAAGGGGCCAAAGCCCCTATAGCCAGGGTAGCCAACGCTTTTCTCTGGCCAGACCCTAACTTAGGCTACAGATGCCATATCCCTTCAGCTCTGGCTTCCTCCAGCTTCTCTTTGGGGTATTTGGATAACCCCTTCGGCTTGCTCTGCTAGCTCAGTGATAGGTAGGTGACAAGGTGACCCTGGGAAACACATCAGAAAAGTTCCAGAGCCAGGAGTGAGGGTGGAGGCACCAGCCCCACCTATTTCTAGAGAACCAGCTCCCCAGAGCTTCAGTGCTGGACCATGGCTGTTCCCCCAGAAGCATCCTGAAGATTTCCCTAGAGCCCAGAGGAATGTGAGTGTCCGCTGGGATCTGGCGTCAATCTGAGGTTGCCCCTCCTCCCCACAACCCCCACCCCAGACAGCTCTTCTTCAATGGGACAGAAACCTTGAGATCTCAGGACCCATTTCCGTGGCCTGCACTGGTCAACACCCTGGAGACTGTGGCCATGGAGGGTGCGGAGGCCTTATACACAGGGAGGCTGGGCCGCATGCTGGTGGAGGACATTGCCAAGGAAGGTCAGCTGTTCTGACACTCCAACACCCAGCCCAGCTAGAGAAGGAGCCACGTTCTGGGCATTGGAGGTTAAAGTCACCCCTTTCCCAGGCCCTTCAGAACTGCTGGGTGCTCCTGGGATTCGGGAGAGGCCAGGTGCCCATCTCGTCCAGCCTAGCCATGGCTGGCCTCGGGGGTCTCTGTGGCAGAGACCTCGAGTGGCAGAGCTTTTGCAAGTCTGCCTGTAAAGAGGCGATGGCAGGCCTGGATGGCTGAGTTGGCCACCTCTCTCTTCCTATTCCCCACTCCCCTTCCTCTGCCCCCTACCCGTCCACCCTATACCACTGCCCAGGCACTCGCCATCACCCCACGGGGACTACATCACTTGCAGGCAAGAGGGACTTTTTTGTGTGCCCTGAGCTGGGTAGCGACTCTTTCTTGCTCTTTGGCAATCCCCATCTGCACATGGAGCTCTCAACATCTCCCTCCAGGAAGCCAGCTGACAGTTCAGGACTTGGCGGCCTTCCAGCCTGAAGTGGTGGCTCCCCTGGAGATGCCCCTAGGAAACTACACCCTGTACTCACCACCACCACCTGCAGGGGGTGCTATTCTTAGCTTCATTCTCAACGTGCTGAAAGGTAAGACCTTCTCAGGCCTCTTCTCTCCCCTCCAGCTCTGCTCTGCAGGGAGCCTGAGCTCCCAGTTCATCCCTGACTTTGGGGAACACATTAGCTTTCTGTCACTATGTGGGAGCAGCTCCCACATTTTCCCCCCAGGGTACTCTTGAGGAAGGAGAAGTGAGAAATATTTAGATAGAAGGATAGAGGGGAGAGAAATAGATAGAAACACAGGACAGCTCAGGAGGGCCTGGATTTTTTTTTTTTTGTGTGTGTGTGTGTGGATTTTTCGAGACAGGGTTTCTCTGTGTGGTTTTGGTGCTTGCCCTGGAACTCACTCTGTAGACCAAGCTGACCTCAAACTCACAGAGATCTGCCTGCCTCTGCCTCCCGAGTGCTGATATTAAAGGTGTGCACCACCACTGCCGGGCGGGCCTGGATCCTTATCCACCGGCCCTTTCTGGCTCTTCTGAAGGGCTATTTATAGGAATGCCAAGGGGTGGAGCAAAGACACCCCCCCCCCCCCCCCCCCCCCCCCCACCCCCCCCCGCACAGTCAAGTGCAGACCCTTCCAATCACCTAGAAACCTTGCACATGGTCAAGCAATCCTCTAATGCAGCCCTGCCGGGTAAAGCAAGCTCAGATCTCACTAGGAAACCTTTGTGGGCCTCCACATCACTATAACATGATGGTGGACACAGGTACTCATCAAGAAAAGGTTAGTGCTGGGAGTTTAGCTCAATGGTAGACTACTTAGCAAGCGTGACTCCTTTCATATCAGCCCTCTTGTGAGAACTACCAAAGAGTCACATGAGAACCACCTCCCACCAGCAAACTCCCTGTGACCTAAAGACCTATTCGGTCTTACCTCTTAAAGGTTCAGCCACCTCCCAATGGGGACACTATGGGGATTAAAACTCCAATCCCAGTGGGCCCTCAGGGACACCCAAGACATATTCCCATCATAGCATATGGCCATTGTCTTTTTGGACATAAATAGGTTAACAGATGCATGATGTCCAAGGACTGTGGACAGTGGTCAAGATGGCATGTTTTAGAGTTGAGCTCTGTCTCAGGAACTGGCTTATGTTGTGCTGAAGGAAATGGCATCCGTTTTGTTAGTGCATGACCCAGTTTCAGGGCACAGGAGCAGAAGGTTCTGTGGGTAGCGAGCTGCATGTCAGGTGTGTAGACTTAAGGCTGACGCACGGTGCTGGGACTCACAGCCTGCAGGGACTTCCCAAGGCCTCACTAGAAGCTAGAAGTCACAGCAGGTTGTACTCAGAGCTCATTCCCTCTGGAGTCTCCTGGGGAGAATCTACAGGCTTCCCTTGCCTTTGGCTACATCGGTCTAGGCTCTGCCCGTATCAGTTCAGACAGGTACAAAGTCTTACACATACTACATGCTTCCCTAAGGCTACACTTGTGATAAAGTTTAATTCTAAATTAGGGACAGTAGGACACAGCCTTTTCATCTACAGGAAGCACTCTGTGGCTTCTCTTCAGTATATGCAAATCACCAGCATCACCGCCATTGGTTAGCTTTCCGTTACTATAGCAAATACCCTGGGGATTGAAAACCCACTCATAAAGAGAAAGAGTTTGTTTTGTCTCACAGTTTTGTAACGTCTGTCTGTGCTTGGCTGGCTCCATTGCCTTTGGGTGGAGGTGAGGCAGTACATCATGGCAGGGAAGTGTGGTAGAGCAAGAACCTCATCTCAAGGCTGCTGGGAAATAAAGAAAGGGAAGGAGAGGAGACAAGCCCCATCTGAGCACATGACCTACCCATCCTACCGGGCCCCAGCTTTTAAAGTTTTCACCACTTCCCAGCAGTGTCAAGCTCAGAACCAAGCCTACAAGTGTGCATTGGGGCCATTGTTCAGGAACCTACGTGCCACCTTGATGCAAGGACTTCAATAGGGTGACAGTCGGTCATAGAGACAGTTAATAAGGCTTGAGATTTCAGTGGTGGAGTTTATGTCTAACACGTGCAAGGGGGGGGACCTGTCTCAGTGCTGGGGGGGTATTAATAAGTGATTAAGGAGCAGGCAGCATATACAGTATGGATACATTGGACAATGGGATGATTCACAGCCTTGGTGTGATGGATGGAGCAAGAGGGCACAAGATTTAGTCATGCTACTCAGAATGACACTTAACATTTATGAATTGTTTATTCTGGAACTTTCCGTCTGATGTTTTTAAACTATGACTAACAGCAGGTAACTGAAATTGTGGAAAAAGTCAGACCACAGACAAGAGGGGACATTTCTTCTCTGTGTGTCTGACTTACAAAGATGCACGTGGTCCAGCGTGGTGGTGCACGCCTTTAATCCGGGTACTTGGGAGGCAGAGGTAGTCAGAACTCTGAGTTTGGATCTCTGAATTTGAGGCTAGCCTGGTCAACAGGGAGAGTTTCAGGACACCCAGAGCTACACAGAGAAACCCTGTCTCGGGAAAATGTATATGTGTGTATCACACACTTGATCATCACGTTTAGGGCTAGCCTACATAATCTACACAATCCAGGGTAAATTCCTTCTCTCAATTCCTTAACGTACTTTGCCATATAATGTAACATTAATTGTTGTGCTATATAAATCAATATTCATGGATTATGGGGATAAAGAAATGAGTAAATCTTTTGGGGGGGCCAACATTCACCCCACTACACAAAGTAATACCCCTGACCCTACTGTCTCCCTAGGGTTCAATCTCTCTGCAGAGATGGTGGCCCGGCCTGAAGGGAAAGTGAACATGTACCATCACCTTGTAGAGACACTCAAGTTCGCAGTAGGGCAGAGGTGGCGGCTATGGGACCCTCGCAGTCACCCAGGGACACAGGTAAGGCTCCCTGGGACTGATGATGTCCTCTCTCACCTCTTCCCTAGAATACAGCATGGAGGGAGCGGCAGGTCTGGCATGGGGAAGGCGGAGGAATTTCTTTGTATTTCTAGGCAGGGATATCCTGGCAGTGGTCCCGAGGGCTGGAAGGGACTCCCGGGTGGTAGCTATAGTGGGTGGGATCTGGGCTTAGCATGGGCTCAAGGAAGGCCCTTCTACAACAGACTGGAGAAAGGGTCTCCCTGAGGGGATTGAGCTCATCCTCCACTCTGCTCTGAGGACCTCCCCACCCCACCACGACCTGACTCCTCACTAACTTTCTATCTGACTGCTCACCCCAGAACACCTCCCAGGACCTTCTCGGGGAGGCTCTAGCCCAGCACATCCGCCAGCAGATCGATGGCCGTGGCGACCACCAGCTCAACCACTACAACCTGTCCGGGGTCAGGGGCAACAGGATGGGCACCTCTCATGTGTCCGTGTTGGGAGAGGACGGCAGTGCTGTGGCAGCAACCAGCACCATCAACACACCGTGTGTGGGACCTGGGCAGGGGCAGCAGGGGGCGGGTGCGGACAGGGCTCAGGGCCAGATGGGTAGGCCCCTCCCCTTGGCTCCTGACACCAAAGTCTCCTTTACCCCAGTTTGGTTCTACACTTTCTGACCTTCCCTTGTTTGCCCCTAAGCAGGCAACATCTTCCTTTCTCTTTTCTCTCTGTCAAAAAGGATGATCTGGCACCAGGGACATCCCTTGCCGAGAAAAGCTATTGCTAGGTAGCCCTGCGCCAGGTCCTGCCTGGGATGAGCTTTACTTTGGTCCTGATGCAGAGCCAAAGGGGATCTTTCGGGCCTGTGGGTGGCGCTGGGCTCTGGTGTGCTGGAAGGCAATACGGTAAAGGATCCCGAGAGACTGCAGCCCTTGGAGTTGGGAGCCAAGGCCCCAAGTTCAGACTCCACCTTACCTATCTGCAGCTTTGGAGCGATGGTGTACTCACCTCGGACCGGCATCCTCCTTAACAACGAGCTACTGGACTTGTGCTGGAGACATGTAGAAGGTTCCACGGTCACTCCTCCACCCGGTGAGAGCAAGGCCTCCTCCTGCCCAGCACCCCTTGAAGAGAGAAAGGAGGGTGGGTGGGCAGCTAGCCCCTGGGTGAGTCACCCCCATCACTGAGCACTGTTTGCTTGGCAATGCATGAAGGAGGGAGGGGCGGGTGGTACTCCTCGAGGGTGTGGGTGATGCTTGTTGGTCCCAGTTCCAGGTGAGCGCCCACCATCTTGCATGGTCCCCTCCATCCTGGTCAACAAGGCCCAGGGATCCAAGCTGGTGATTGGTGGGGCTGGCGGGGAACTCATCATCTCTGCTGTGGTCCAGGTGAGTCTGAGGGTTCCTGGCTAGAGTGCTTCCTCTCTGGCAAACTCCCTGGGGTGGGGATGGGAGTGTTGTGGTGGGATGGCCAGTGCCTCCTCCTTCCCTGTATCCTTTTATTTCTTCCAGACCATCATGAATAAGCTGTGGCTTGGCTTTGACCTGACAGAAGCCATTGCAGCCCCCATCCTACATGTCAATAGCCAGGGCCACGTGGAGTATGAACCCAAGTTCAACCAGGTGAGGCTGAGGTCCCACCTGCCTCCTGAAGCCCATGTTGCTCAATGTCCCCTGTAAAAAATTCAGTAACTTCCTGTGCCAGGGAGGTACACTTCACCTTCAGGGACCAGGAGGAGTTGAGAAGCTCAATGGGAAAGACAATAGGTTTGTCCCATGGCATCCAGGGCAGAGAGCAGGCTGTTGCCTGAGCTTCTCCTGGGCTGAGGACTTCAAAATCTTGCCAGGCACTGGTGGTGCATGCCTTTAATCCCACCACTTGGGAGGCAGAGGCAGGTGGATCTGAGTTCGAGGCCAGCCTGGTCTACAGAGCGAGTTCCAGGACAGCCAGAGCTATAGAGTGAAACTGTCTTGAAAAACCAAAGGGGAAAAAAAATCTTGCTCTGTGTACACCATTTCCAGGAAGCTAGCTTTCCTGGCTGTGGCCAGTTAGACGCTGCTTCCTGGCGATTTGTTCCCTCGTATAGTTTGGAACTCACATTTGAGAGTTTACTCATGAAAGAGCTTGCTTTTCCTGTGGGATTTTCTTCTGGAGCATTGGAGGTCATGCTGTTGTTGCTTCCAAACATGTGTCTCCCACTAAAGCCCCGGAGCAGGACCAGGGACTGAAGTCTCTTTCCTGGCTACCACCTTCCTCCCCAGAAACTTCTCTTTCTGGGAGTTTTCTGAAGCTAACTGGATGCACTGTGCTGGGGCCCATGTAAAGATTGGCAGCTTTGGGGCTGGAGAGGTGGCTCAGTGGTTCTTCACACCCACGTGGCAGCTCACAACCACTCTGTAAACACTATAAGAGGTCCAACATCCTCTTGTGACCTCCACAGGCTCCTGCATGTGGTGTCCACACACACACACACACACACACACACACACACACACACACACACACACACACAGCAGATTAATGTTTTATAAATAAATAAATCTTTAAAACGACCATTAGCTTTTCAAGGCCACAAGCTTTGTGCTCAGGACCATTTCAACTACCTGTGGTTCAAGGTTCTCAAAGTTCTGTTTTGGTTCCCAAGGCCATCTTCCAGGGCCGCTTAGAATTCTAAAAACCCTCAGACTAAGAGGCCTTCAGTAAAAAAGGGGCATTAACAGATGGTCCTTGACTCATAATAGTTTGACTCCTGGATTTTTCAACTTCCTAATGGTATGAAGTCCATATATGCTGGGCTAGGAATGTAGCCCAGGGATAAGGTATGCACAAGCTCCCAGCACTACAAAAGACAAAAGAGAGAAAAGAAAAAAGGTTACATGCATTCAGTGGAAACCATTTGATGTCTATTACGCATCGATGGTGATTACGCATATAACCATTCTATGTTATAACATAGAATGACATTGACAATACTCAATACATTGCATGTGAGATGTTCAACACTTTACAATGAAATCATCTTTGTCTCAGGTGGACACTGTGGGCTAACCTAAGTGTTCTGCACATTTAAGGCAGGCTATGACGTTTGATAGTTTAGACGTACTTAATTTTTTAAAAAAGATTTATTTTATGTGCATGAGTGTTTTGCCTGTATGTCTGTATGTGCACCACACCCATGACTGGTGTTCATGGATGTCTGGAAGGGCACTGGAGTCCCTGGAACTGGAATTGTGGTTATGAGCCACCAAGCAGGTGCTAAGAACTGAACCTGGGTCCTCTGTAAAAGCAACAAGTGAGTGCTGAGTCATCTCTTCAGGTTAGATATATTCAATATATGAATTCATTTTGAAATATTTTCAGATTATGATGGATTTATTGGGCCATCGTCACCCCATCCTTTTTTCTTTAATTAATTTATTTTTATTTAATGTGCACTGGTGTTTTTTCCATGGGCATCAGGTCCCCAGATACTGGAATTACAGACAGTTGTAAGCTGCCATGTGGGTGCTGGGAATTGAACCCAGATCCTCTGGAAGAGCTGTCAGTGCTCTTAACCACTGAGCCATCTCTCCAGCCCCTCGTCACCCCATCATAAGTTGAACAATATCTGTAGTATTGAGAACTTGCTCAGATCGTGAGGTTCAGGGCTTAGCCACTGGGACTCAGATTCTTGGCATTCTAACATCTTCACAGGGTTCTTCCAGGGACCTGAGAGGCTCTCTCAGAGAGTACCAGGTCCAAGGAACTAATGTCAAGAGAATGCAAGATCCAAGACATGTTCTTTTAAGCCCTTGCTCCTTAAGCTTTGGCCCTTGACTTAACTGCAGATCTGTCCTCAGCGAACATCAGTTCTCAAGACTTGGCACTCTGAGACTCTTTGGCTCTGAGAATTCAGAAGATGACACAAGGTCTGGGAACTGAGATTAATGAATTAAGTGCCCTGTCAAGCCAAGATTGTCAGTTCCCTTGGGGTGTTAAAATGTCAGTTATGCAGATCCAGGACTTTCCATGGAGAACCTCATAAGCCCTGGCTTAGAGATCTCAAGTCTCCAAGGACTCTCGTAAGCAAAAGCCACCACCAAGGCAAGGAAGGGCTTGGAGTTTGGCCACTAAATTCTGAGAAATGGAGGCCTCTGAGGATTGAAAGTCTAACTTTGGTTTCAGCACTGAGATCTTCAGCCTTTCATGTCAAGGCCGTTGGGCAATTCATATAGTAAACGCAGGAAAACTCACGAGCCCTCAGGGTGTGGCTCCAAGTCTCACCTTGCCACTGGCTCAAGTCACATAATGTCTATCACTTGATGGAGTCAGAAAGGAGACAACTGATTATAAGGCTTGCAGAGTCACCACACCTGGACATCTGTGGAATATCGGGTCACAGTGGACAAAATCCTTGACCCATTCATCTGAAATGGCATATGGAAGTTGGGGCTGAAGAAATGCAATTCTTGGGATTTTTGCTGTCTTGTAACATGATAAACAGCAGTAGTGGGGGGTTCATACCCCAAGGACATAAAGTTCTTAGCATCTTAGAAGTCAGAACTTCAGGGCTAGGGCCTACTTAAGTTTCTACCTCCAAGTTCACAGATTTAATGTCTTACACCTGAGCAATTAGGGCCCCATGTCCTGAGCGTCTCCCAACACTTCCTTCAGGGTTCCAGTTTTCTTGGTTACATACAAGTTTGTTTGTGTTTGAGACAGAATTTGGCTCAGGCTAGCCTCAGAATTGCCATGTAGCCTAGACTGATTTCAGTTTACAACCCGCCCTGTCTCTACCCCTTAAGTGCTGGATTGTAGGTAAGTACCACCATACCTGAAGGACCAAAGCACCCCCATTTCCTATATCCATACAAACACACACACACACACACACACACACACACACACACACACACACACACACACACACACGGAATGCTTCATGAATTTACAAGTCATCCTTGAGCAAGGCCCATGTTAATCTTTCTGGATTGTTCCAATTTTAGTGTGTGTGCTGCTGAATCGAGCACAGGACAGCACATGGATATCCTGGACAAATGGGATCAGCAGCTTTGAGTCCTTCTAGACACCCCCTTATCACCCCAAAGTTAGAGCCCCCCAGGAGTTTGACTGCTGCATATCTGGATGTCTCAGGTCTTGAGTTCTTATGTGATTGTTGCTGATGTCCTTTATGGTTTGGCAGCACTCAAGCTGGTGGGTCTGGGTACCTAGTATCCAGTACTTTGCTCTCCTCAATGTCCCCGGGCATCTGTGAACTCCAAAAGGTGTTGCTTTGAAGAGATTCAAACTCGTGGCCCCTGAGCTCAAGTCTTCTAACGCTACCTTCTCCACGGAAGCCCCTAGATCACCTCAGACTTGTCCTCTGGGTCCATAGTGAACTGGACTCAAGAACAGAATGAACTCGCTTCTTTTTTGAGGAGGGTTTCGACACAGGGTTTCTCTGTGTAGTTTCTCTGTGGTGCCTGTCCTGGATCTCACTCCGTAGTCCAGGCTGGCCTCGAACTCACAGAGATCCGCCTGGCTCTGCCTCCCGAGTGCTGGGATTAAAGGCGTGCGCCACCGCCGTCTGGCTGATCTTGGTTCTTGAGGGGTTGTTGCTCTGAGTTGCACCGTCCTTGCATAATCCCTGTACTCTTACGTCCCTCTGATGTTTACAAGCCATGAACTCCATGCTCCAGAACCAGTTCCTGACAGTCTTTCCCTAGCCAGCGTCCTCAGGCCCCCATGCCCCAGTCCCATCCTTTTAGGTCTGTTTTCCTATTTTTTTTTGTCCGGCCACTCCCTTGTGTACTGGGGGACTTGAGCTGCCCTCTCCGTGAATGCCCCTTCTCTCTTCTTCAGGACGTGCAGAAGGGGCTTCAGGACCGGGGCCAGAGCGAGAGCCCACGGCTGTTTTTCCTGAATGTGGTCCAGGCTGTGTCCCAGGAAGGGCCCTGTGTCTATGCGGCATCTGACCCGAGGAAGGCTGGAGAGGCTTCGGGATACTAAGACGGCTTTGCCCCGAGCTAGGATCTGACCCACTATGAGTTCGGTGCCTCAGACAGAGGAGGCTGGAGGTCTAAGCGCTCCAGAACCTGGATCCTTTGCCGCGAGATCAACCTGGGACTGAAAAGGACAGGGACAGCTCGGCAGATGAATGACGGAAGAGGGAAGGATTGACTTGTTTGTGGTCCCTTCCTGACACCTCCTGTGGCCCTGCTCTGCCTCTTCTAGCCTCATGCCCATCCTCTAAATGGTCTACCTACCAGTCCAGGATTAAAGAGGAGCCACACTGTGGACTGATTTAGTGGTTCTAAGCAGGTAAAGGGACACTCAGCGCCCTGTGACGTGCAATACACCTCAGACTCTTATGGCCCTTCATGACTCACCATCAAGGCTCAGAGATGGGCCAGGTTTCATAAGGCTCAGAGAACAGAGGCCACTCACCTCTACTCTGTTCAAGCTACAGTGTGTTTGGGGGCTTTGCAGTGTGTCTGGCCCCCATCTTGCCTGCCAGTGAGAAGGCAGGAGTGTGGCTTGTAGTACTCGCCCTCAACTCTTGTGAGGCCCTTCTCCACTCCAGGAAAAGGTTGGATGAAGCATACTATGTTCTTGAGAGTAGGGCTCATTCTTGGTAGCACTGACATGTAGGATGAAATAATCCTCTGTTGTGTGGAGCTGTCCCCACGTTGCACACCCTTGACACAATAGCATCCCCTCGCATACCCCCCCCCCCCCCCGGATGCAACAACACAAACTGTCTCTGGACAGGGCTGCAGCATCCCTGGCTGAGACCTGCTGCTCCGGATGGGTGGGAAACTGCCAGAGATGGCTTTGCAGGCTGTCCAGTACGGTGCCCATCATAGGGGTCTCCCTAGAGGGACCTAAGCATCTTGCATCACACTGACTCCTGGGAGCATCAGGTACTTCTGTATCACCCCAAGGGTCGGCAGGAGTTGCTTTAGTAAGTACAGAATGCGACAACAACCTGCATGGCTTATGTATCTTAAAGAAATCCATCGCTCTGGTTCAACAGTTTAAGAGCTCTTTTTTCTAGGACCTAGTTTGGATTCCCAACACCCACATGGTGGTTCATCACCATCTATAACTCCAGTTCCAGGGGATCTGATGGCTGTTTCTGACCTCCACAGGCACCAAGGATACATACAGGCAAAACACTCACACATAAAATTAAGTGAATAAGCAGGTGATGGTGGCGCACGCCTTTAATCCCAACATTCGGGAGGCAGAGGCAGGTGGATCTCTGTGAGTTCCAGGCCAGCTTGGTCTACAGAGTGAGTTCCAGGACAGGCTCCAAAGCTACACAGAGAAATTCTGTCTCAAAAAACAAAAAAATTAAGTGAATAAATATAATTTTTAAAATAAAAAAAAGAAATGGATGACTCATAACTCTGAAACCCAGGCAGTCTGAGATAGGGTGCCAGCAGATTTGGTGTTTGGTGAAGGGTCATTTCCTCACAGACAGTCTGTCATATGGCAGAAGGAGTTAGGTAACTTTCTAGGGTTTCTTAAAAGACGTTAGAGTCACCCCTCACTATCTGTAGGAGATTGGTTCCGGGACCTCCATCAAGAAGACTGAAGTCGCCGGGCGGTGGTGGCGCACGCCTTTAATCCCAGCACTCGGGAGGCAGAGCCAGGCGGATCTCTGTGAGTTCGAGGCCAGCCTGGGCTACCAAGTGAGTTCCAGGAAAGGCGCAAAGCTACACAGAGAAACCCTGTCTCGAAAAACCAAAAAAAAAAAAAGACTGAAGTCTGTGAATGCTCATATCCTTTATATAAAATGGAGTAGCGTGGGTTGGGCGGTGGTGGCGCACGCCTTTAATCCCAGCACTCGGGAGGCAGAGCCAGGCGGATCTCTGTGAGTTCGAGGCCAGCCTGGGCTACCAAGTGAGTTCCAGGAAAAGGCGCAAAGCTACACAGAGAAACCCTGTCCTGAAAAAAAAAATTAGTGTTTGCATCAGCTGCTTGTGAAATCAAGAGCTGGAAGCTAATGGACGGTTAAGTGAGGTCCGGTGATATCATTTGGTGTTCCTGATTACAATCAGATTTTCTTCGTCATCCTTGCGGCATTGTGGTAAGGTGTGGACTCCCTCCCTTGAGTCAAGACCATAAACATTCTCTGCTCCCTTCTGACCACAGCTTCTCTCTGTGCATGCACTTCTGTGCCTAGCTACAGGATCTTCCTAATTTTATGACTGCATGCTTCAAGCCACTTAATCTTGCTCCTCCACACACATGTCTGTCTCCTGCTCCATCTCTGCTAACCTGACTCAGGTGCTATTGATCAAAGAGGGGTGGCTATATTTTCTGGTATCTCTGTTGCCATGTGATAATGTCAGTGTGTTTTCTATATCAGACTAAAGAGGTAACATCAGACCTCCATGATGGGTTCTGTTCTTGAGAGATTATTTTACCTCGTATATGAATCGAGTTCAAAGGGGAACTTAGGGATTTCCCTGTGACCATGCACCTCTGACACGTTGTGACCAGAAACAAAATGGCAATTTGTGTTTCCTCCTTGATCCTTATAGAAAAGAAATTGATGCCATGTCTGAGAGAGGAAATCATACCTTGTTCCTACTCATAATTCATCTCTTGACGTATAGTGGAATAAATTTAATCCCCCAGCTTTAGAAAGAAAGAGGTTGACTTGGTCATGCACAATGTCACTAGGAAGCTTACATTAAATGTTAAAGAGAACAACCAATGATAAGCAATCTAACCTTTAATATCAACTAAATCAAAAAGTAATGAGATGTTTCTATACCCAAGCTTTCCTTCAAGACTGGTGTAACTTACTGTCTGGGTGTTCAACAACCAAACATGGAGACCAACGCTAATAAATATGTAGAGGCTAAGAGGACAGCCAATATTTTTGCCCTTGCCCCAAGGTCAGGGGCATGACAGGATATGTCTCAACATGCTCTGCAGCTCCGGTAAGTCACCTGCCCTATCCTCTTGATGAGAGAGGCCATGGCAGGCCAGTGGCACAACACATAACATGTCTGACTACAGATCAGAAGACAGAGAGGCCACGAAGATACAGAGATTGCTGTCAACTAGTGAACGCTTGGCAAGAGGAGGGTTGATAAGGAAGGAAATGTCCACCGGGCTTCCAAGGGAAGCCACGTGGTCAGCAAGACCCTGTTATCTTGTCTTGGAATTCCCTCCACCACGCTCCGCTACTTTGAATTCCGTCTCACTCCGATTTTTAGGCTAGAGGCAGAAGTTGGTCAGAGTCTTGGCTGTAGAAGGCCCACTAGTCTGATTCTCCTCAGAGTCTCCGTTCTCCTCCACCCTCATGAGCACAAACTCTACAACTGGCATTTCTGTGGACATTCTGATCTGCAGAGCTCCCACCAGAATGGCCCATTAAGTTCTGCTTACAGAACTCTAGGGTTCTTTCTTGCCCATAGTTCCAAACCCTTTCACATTCCTCCTGTAAACCATTTCCAAAGACCTAGAAAAACACGTGGTCACGTTTGTCACAGCCATGACCTCGCTTCTGGTTCTAATATTAGTCACATTTCTACTTAACCGAACACCTGATAAGGGAGGAAGGGTTCATCTTGGCCTGTGTCGTAATTCCATACAGTTTCCCAGGAAACCACAAATAGATGAAAAACATTAGGACCACATTTGGGGCTTTATGATAGGACCCTGGCTCCCGAGATGCATTGGACTCTTTGATATTCTTGAGGTAAAGCAGGTCTGATCTAGTCAGGAGGGAGTCATTTTTGTCCTCTCCTGCTGCCCAGGACCACACTTCTGTCAATAAATCCTCCCAATAGGTGGCTTTGTGGGAGATGCTTTAACTGGCCATCAGTGCCTAGCTGGCTGTAGATGAATTCAACTTGTCTCTCTTCTTTCTTCTTGGGCTGTGACCTGGAGAGTTAGAGCTGGAAAGTAGAAAATGGAGGTGCTAAGTTAAAACCCTTAGCTTATCACTTTCTATCACTGGATAAAGACAGGAAGGATGAGGTGTGAGCTGTAAGCTCATGACCAGAGTGGTACAGAATAGGCTGAGGGAGTGAGAGGGAGCCTGAGACTGGAATGCTAGAGGATGACCGTGACCTGCATGCTGTGAGCGTTGCCTGTTCCCTCCATGCTTATTACGGTGCAAAGTAAAGACACAGGATACTCAGGGAACTGTGTAAGACTACAGTGGTGTGGAATTGAATTTGGAAAAACCTTCAAACTGCTTCCCTATGAGCACCAGACTGCCTGGATAAGTAGACCATGGGGCAGAGAAAGAGGGGACATTTCTGTGGTGGGAAATGATTGCTGATAACACGAATATCAGTGCCATTCACTGGGCCCTTAAGCCGTTCATTTATCTGTGCAATGCCTGCCGGACCCAGGGAAGTCATCCTTTTATGGATTGGTCCATCTTGGGAATAGGAGAGGCATGTCAACGGAAGAGTATCATGTGATTAGTGTGCAGATCTAGCTGCCTGGTGGGCATACTGAGTTTGGAGGAAATGAATTTTAAAAAGGTGGTTTTACAACCTGCTCATGGAAACTTCTATGTCTCTATTTGGTCAATGGAAGTCAAATGGAACTTGGAAAATGAACCTAAGTTACAGGAGTCAAATAAGGTGATGCTTCTTATCTGCAGCACGGTGCCCAACAGTACCTACTTCCGGGGGGCTGGATGGGAGAGCAGGTGTCATGCCCACTCAGCTCCACAAGGGCTGTCCTATACTAATGTTGGTTCGGCATTTGTTTGAAACTGGACCCACAAGACCAGTTCACGCTCACTTGGGAAGGAAACCAGTAGACATTCCCCGCTGCTAGTGTTTGGTCCCATTGTATCCACGACAGCATGCCAGCTGGTACAGGTTGTCCTCTCTTACAGGACACTAGAGGATGGTTGCATGCCTCTACACAAGGGATGGGTAGAAAGCACTGTACCGCCTGCCCAGTCCCCAGGTATATTCCAGTCAGTGAAACCTGTTCAAACGCAGACGTGCTATGAGGCAAAGCATGAATCTTCCCTATGGGGAAGGGCGATCAGGCTTTTGCAGGACTCATGGACAGTTGTGGCTTTCATTCTTCATCTAGCCTGATGCCTATGCCCACTGTGTCCACTCATTAGGAAGGGAGGAAGGAAGTCATACGGATTTGGGGCTGTGGCTCAGTGGTAGAGTGTTCACCTGACATGTCTGAGGCCTTGTGTTCCCTAGAACCACAATAAACAAACACTTAGAAATGGAAGGGGGTCGCATGCACCTCGGCTCCTCCAACTGCAAGCCTCTGCAATGGCCGAGACTTAGCAGCCCATCTCAGACCGTGGGCACCTGTTCCCGTTTCAGTTGCGGGACAAATGGCATGAGCTGGGCTTTCTGGTAAGAACCAATACAAAAGGCAGCTCTGGGCTTTTGCTCCTAGCTCTGAAAGAGCTAACCTAGGCTTTCTCCTTAGAACAGCAGTTTTGAGCAGTGTATTATGCCTTGGAAGAGGTGGAGCCACTGGCTGGGACTACCAATGACAGCATGAAGTAGCCTCTCTATAATGGTGTAGGTGGGTGGCTTGGAGTGTAGACTCTGCTCTAAGTAAGTGGTATGTGTAAAGGAGATCGTTTTCTCAAGAGCTTCCTGACTCCTGAGCCACAGTGTTAGACCTGCTACCTCTAAAACAGCCTCCACCAAGGTGGCATATATACACATAAACAAAATAAAAATAATAAAAATAAACATCAACCCCTAGGGCTTTGGGAAAGGTGAGCATACATAATATAGAATATAATCTAATATTTATATGTAATAGATAAAGTAGCTACTGAATAAATTGAAGGAAGTGTAATTGCATAAAATAATATGTTAGAATGGAGAACTAACTACAAATATAGATATAGAAGATGTTAAAATATAATAAAATATTATTCATTCTTATAAAAAAGGCAAAAACTTTGACAAAAATACTTTCTAGGACAATATAAATAAAGTTTCAATATTTGGGACATATTTAACCTAAATGCCATTTATCTGAAATTTAGGCTTATTTGGCATCTTATATTTTTATTTGCTGCTATGTCAAATATGAGTAACTAATGAACGTGACATTAAGGGCAAAGATCTAAACACATTGGCGATTGTTCTGGCTAGTTTTATGTCAACTTAACACAAGCTAGAGTTATCTGAAAGGAGGGAACCTCAACTGAGAAAATGCCTCCATAAGATCCAGCTGTAAGGCATTTATTTAATTAGTGATTCATGGGGAGGGCCCAATCCATTGTGGGTGGTGTTATCCCTGGGCTAGTGGTCCTGGGTTCTATAAGAAGGCAGGCTGAGCAAGCCACATAAAGCAAGCCAGTAAACAGCACTCCTCCATGACCTCTGCACCAGCTCCTGCCTCCAGGTTCCTATCCTGCTTGTGTTCCTGTCTTGGCTTCCTTCAGTGATGAACAGTAGTAATATGGAAGTGTAAGCCAAAAACACCCTTTCCTCCCCAAGTTGCTTTGGTCATGGTGTTTCATCACAGCAATAGTAACCCTAACTAAGACAATTTGGGACCGCGATAGTGGGGTATTGCTGTGACAGACCTGACCATGTTGTTTTGGGAGGATTGTTGAAGGACTTTAGAACTTTGGGGTAAAAGAGCCATTGAGTGTTGAGAGCTCAGTGAGCTGTTCTGAGGGAGCTTGGAAGATAAGAATGTTAGAGCAGTGCCGGATGATGGAGGCCTGGCTTGTGAAGTTCCAGAGGGAAGCAAAGACTCTCCTGGGGCCATTTGAGCTAAGAACCTGTGGTGTCTCGTCAGCTGGAACCGAAGAATCAGCTGTGATTAACAAGAGACCAGAACCACTAAAGCGAAATCCTTGCTTTGCTGGGACAATGGATGCTGATCAGCTGGGGCTGAGGAATCAGCTGTGATTAACAAGAGACCAGCATCACTGAGGTGAAATCTTCTGGGAAGTGTTCCTGAGAGTCAGCACAGAGAAGCTGTGTTCTAGAGGCGGCCAAGGTTGTACCTTCTGCTGGCCGCTGAACCTGGTAGTGTCAGAATCACCCAGGTGGTGCTGGTTTTGAAGGCATGAATGGACTATGGGAAGCAGCTGTGTGGCAGGGCTGGCGTGCCTGAAGAGAGCCTATTGGTGAAAGTGCAGCCCAGTTGCACCAAGGGACCCTGGCGTTTTGGAGATATGAGTACCATGGGATGACCACGAAGAACAGCAGCCGGTGTGGAGCCAACCAGAGCCTAGAAGACAGGCTGTGTGTGCTGCAGAGGGCAGATCCAGGTAAGTGGAGATGCTCTTTGAAGGAGCCAGAAAATCGTGAGTGAATCCCAGATAATTGGATGTTGAGTTATTTACACTTTTGTAGTTTGGTTTGTTATGTTCAGGTTGTGACTATGTCCTGGTTCTCCCTTCTGGAAGTGAGAAGGTATTTAACTTATTTTTGATTTTCCAGAGGTCCACAGTTGAAATACTGAATTTTAAAAGAGATTTTAGATTTTTAAAAGATATTTGGATTTTTAAAGAGACGGACTTTTAAAGGGTTTGAATTTGTAAAGACTGGGACATTAAGTTTGTAAATGTTTTATATTGTGATGTTGATGTTAATTGGTGACCTTGGGGATGACCAAGGAAAGGTTATGGTGTGATAGTGATATGTTTGTGTGTCAAGTTGGCAAGGCTAGTTTTTTCTTGTTTTTGTTTTTGTTTTTTAGTTTAGGGTTTTGTTTGTTTGTTTTGAGACAGGGTTTCTCTGTGTAGTCCTGGCTGTCCTGGAACTCACTTTGTAAACCAGGCTGGCCTCGAACTCAGAGACTTACCCACTTCTACCTCCCAAGTGCTGGGATTAGAGCTGTGTGTCACAACATCCAACACATCGTGGCTAGTTTTATGTCAATTTGACACAAGCTTGAGTCATCTGAAAGGAGGGAGCCTCATCGAAGCAATAGAAACGCTAGGACAGTGTCCATTCAAGAAATCGAGACCCTTGCCTGAACCGAGCAAGCCTATCCTAGATCCCCCTTCGCAAAGTGCTATGGATAAAGCATGTCCTGCCATTAGGACTAGAGAATTATTCTGTGCGTCGGACAGTGTAAAGCAAGGAGAAAAATGTCCATACTTAACTTCATGAAGCCAGTGTCCATCCCATACCTGGCAAAGACATGCACAGGCCAAATGTGCCTCTTGTACAATGCAAACTCCTACATAAAACATTGGCAAAAGAACAGTATGTCCCACCTGTTTGGGTAGAGCTGGCTCTAATACTTCCAGAAAGCTTTCTTGGTATTTGTGCAAACACGTCTCTTATCTCTGATCTTTCCCTAGAGAAGAGAAGCTGGGCTGGAGAGATGGCTCAGAGGTTAAGAGCACTAACTGCTCTTCCAAAGGTAGAGTTCAATTCCCAGCAACCACATGGTGGCTCATAACCATCTGTAATGTGATCTGGTGCCCTCTTCTGGCCTGCAGTCATACATGCTGTATACATAATAAATAAATAAATAAATAAATAAATAAATAAATAAATAAATAAATTTTAAAAAAAAGAAAGAAAAGAAAAGCCACAGGGTAGCTCCACAAAGGATGAAGAAGCATTTGACACTTGACAGCATTTGGCTTCCATTCTTTTGTGTGTGGGGAAGTGGGGCACGTGCCACTGTACTCAAGTAGAGGTCAGAGGACAGCTCTTGGGAGTCAGGTCTCTTGCTACCTTGTGGCGCAAGTGCCTGTACCGATACAGCCATCTCACCAGCTACACAGCCTTTTTTAAAAAAGATTTAAAAAAAAATTAAGGGGCTGGAGAGATGGCTCAGCAGTTAAGAGCACTGACTGCTCTTCCAGAGGTCCTGAGTTCAATTCCCAGCAACCACATGGTGGCTCCAACCACCTGTAATGAGATCTGGTGCCCTCTTCTGGCCTGCAGGGGCACATGCAGACAGACACTGTATACATAATAAATAAATAAATCTTTAAAAAAAAAAATTAGGTGTATATGTGTGTGATTCTGCATGAGTGTATAGGCACCATTTGCATGCAGGGGCCCATGGAGGCCAGAAGAGGGTTTTGAATCTTCTGGAACTGGTGTTATAGGCAGTTGTGAGCCGCCATGTGAGTCCTGGGAACCAAGCCCCAATCCTCTACAAGACTAGTAAGTACGTCTAGCCACTGAGACATCTCTCCAGCACCCCCACAGCAATCCTTTTCTTAGTTTATGTTCACGGGTGTTTTGCAGACGTGTCCATGCACCAAGTGCATGCAGTGCCCAAGGAAACAGAAGAGGGAGTTGGATCCCCTGGGTCTGGAGTTTCAGACTGTTGTGAGCTGTCCTACGTGTTCTGGGAATCAAATCCCAGTCCTCTGCAAGAGCAGCCAGTGCTCTTAAACACTAAGCCATCTCTCCATCACCGCCCCCCACCATCCATCCACAAAAACAAAACCAAACTACTGTGGTATCACAGTAGTGCACTTGGGAGGCAGAGACAGGAGGATGATTGAGAATATGAAGCAAGCCTGGACTACACAGCAAGTTTTAGGACATCCCGGCTAGAGAAAGTGATCTTGTCTCACAACACAATAATGATTGAAAACATTAAAAGAGGAATGGAATGGAGAGAGGCTCTCTTAACACAAAGAATATTATATATACTTTTTAAAATTCTGTGTGTGTGTGTGTGTGTGTGTGTGTGTGTGTGTGTGTGTGTGTGTGTGTGTACACGTTTGTGTATGTGAGTGTAGGCTCCCAAGGAGTCCAGAATAGGGTACCAAAATACCCTGAAGCTGGATTTACATGTGGTTGTGAGCTGCCCAGTGTGGACACTAGAAACTTCGATACTCTGAAAAAGCAGCAAGTGCTCTCTCTAGCCAATGAATATGTATCTTAAAACAATAACAATTTTTGTTGGGCATTGACCATGGGTTAGGTCTATTTCTTTACCTACCTAATTTATAGAATTTATTATTATTATTATTATTATTATTATTATTATTATTATTATTATTTAGTCAGAGTCTCACTATGTAGCCCTACTGGCCTGAGACTATATGTAGACTAGGCTGGTCTTGAACTCACAGAGATCTGTTTGCTTCTGCCACTTGAGTGCAGAGATTAAAAGGTATTTACCCACAATACCTGGCCTCAATTCATAGAATTCTAATGAAAGGAATTAGAATGATCTCTGCTTCACAGATGAGCTAGCTTACTGGAGTGTTAATAATCCAAGGGCGACCCAGAATAAATACCAGAGCAGAACAGATGAACTTGAAAGTGACCCCAATAAACTGATTGGCTCACCAATGAGCCATAGGAGTAGTCCTGGAGGGAAGTGAATAAATGTCTACTCACCCCAGATCGGGAATTGAGGACAGGCCAAAGTATGGATACTACCACCAAAGTCCAACCTGGTGAACCAGTGAGTTTTATTGGGCTTACTTACAGGAATATAGGTGAGGGGTTACTGACAGGAACAGAAAGGACTCTGAAGACAGCAGCATCACCAAAGCCCATGTGAGGGTCCGCGAGAAGTCCCATAAAAGACCACCAGTCAAGGATGCAATCAACGAGAGTGTTTAATAAACGATTTCAGCATGTTGGGGGTCAAACTACCTGACAAAGTGTCAAATGGTGACCCTGAGAGAAGCTTGCAGGCTCCTTTTAAGCACAGCTAGGGGAATTCCAGCTGTGGTTAAGTGTACTTTGAAGTGATTGGGTATAGACTCTTACTAGTACAGGGATCGTTTTATGATTGGCTCATGACATCTGGTCAGCAGCTGTGGTCTGTCTGCTGTGTCAGGGGTCTGTCTGACTGAAAATAGCAAGAACAGTTCCTGCTTGTGGCCGGGTAGGACCCTGATTGGCCACCAGACTGGATGTACTTCCTGAAGGTCTGATCGAAGCCAGACATGAGTCAACATAGGATGGTAGGAGAATATGGGGCACAGGTCTTAGCAAACTGGCCCCTGAAAACAAACAAACCAACCAGAAACAATTGGCCCTGTAAGGTTCAGTCCTGTTGTAAGAGGGGGCGGCTGCTTCATCTACCCCAGCATGAGTGGGAACTCACAAAAGCTGGGAACCCAGAGCAACTTCACAACCTGCAGCTCATCAGGCTGGAGAGTCTTTGCCTGGTGGCTCAGTTGGCCTGAGCTCCTTCTAGGTACCTTGGTGGTAGAATGACCCTTTTATAGGGGTTGTCTTAAGACCGTTGGAAAACATAGATATTTATGTTACTGTTCATAACAGTAGCAAAGTTACAGTTATGAAGTAGCATTGAAAATCATTTTATGGTTGGGAGTCACCACCGCATTCAGAACTACATTAAAATAGTGTCAGGAAGGGTGAGGACCACCGCTCTAGGCTGTCCCACTGGCCTCTACTTCTTCCAGGCTCCTTAACTTTATTTCTTCCATCAAGTGAGCTTGGTCTGAGCCTCTTCTGAGAGTCTTGCAGCTTGGCTTATCTGAGAGTGACTCTCAGCAGTCTTTATAGCTTATGTACTCTGGGGAACAAGGGGCCAAGTGAATCTGATCAGTTTTAGGGACTTCCTAAAGCTCTTTTGTTTCCTTTCTGTCTTAAGGAGTTTTCTGCAGGATGGAGGGTTTTCATATTGGAGGAAACTGCTACACATCACCATCTTTCTATCCCCCAGTGTAACAACAACAAAACAAACCAACCAACCAAACAAAAAAATAAACAAACCCTGGTGTGGCATCACACGCCTGTAATCTTAAGAGGCAGAGGCAGAGGAAATTCAAGGCCAGTATAGGCTATATAACAAGTACCAGGTTAGCTAGGGCCATATAATAAGAAAGACTCTTTCTCAAAAAGCCAGGGGAAAAAAGGAATAAAATATGACAGCCAGGGGTGCAGTACTTGCCTAGCATAGTAAGATCTTTAGTACAGAGAAAAAAAGTAATTTAAAAAATTAGGACCAGTGAGATGGCTCAGAGGGTCTAACCAAGGCTGGCAACCTGAGTTCAATTCCCAGAATTCACAGAGTAGAAGGAGAGAACTGAGTCTCCCAAGCTGTCTTCTGGCCCCCACATAGGCATCATGCTGCACAAGCACTTCTGTCCCCCAGTAATAAAATATAAAGAAAAACTTGAAAAACTAAAATAAACCTTTATTTGTTTTTTTTTTTTCAAGACAGGGTTTCTCTGTGTAGTTTTGGTGCCTGTCCTGTTCGCTCTGTAGACCAGGCTGGCCTTGAACTCACAGAGATCTGCCTGGCTCTGCCTTCTGAGTGCTGGGATTAAAGGTGTGCGCCACAACTGCCCAACTATAAACCCTTTATTTTATATCGTTAATGTATGCTAACAAAAAGGAAGACTTGTTTTAAAAGTGAAACCACATACACAAGAATAAAACAATTAGAAAAATGAAGTCGTCACTGAACAAGGTGGTGCATACCTTTAATCCCAGCATTCAGGGGCTAGGACAGGTGGAGTTCTGTGAGTTGGAAGCCAGCCAGGGCTACACAGTGGGATCTTGTCTCAAAAAAAGTATCATATTTTATATCTTGAATAAAATAACTATGCAACTAGTAAGAAAACTGATCTATTTAAACATAAAAATTAAAATTTTATTTTAGGTGGCACACACCTTTAATCCTAGCACTCAGGAGGCAGAGGCAGGAGGATCTCTGTGAGTTCAAGGCCGGTCTTGTTTCTGAAGGGAGTTCCAGATTAGCCAGGAATATATAATGAGACCCTGTATGAAAAAAATAAAAATTAAAAAAAAATTTAATTTTAAAAGATAATATGGAAAAATAAATAACCAGTAGAAAACTTAAGGAAAAAAATTTTCAATACATAATATGATGTGGGGCCAATTTCTTTAATATTTAAATATTTATAACCAAAGGCCAAGATCCATTAAAAATCCTCAGTGGGACATGACTCACTTGTCCATTAGAAATATTACCAAGGAGGTGACTCACTTGTCCACAGTAAGAGCACTTCCGAAATGCAAAAAGTTACTCAACCAAGCTCATAAATCAGAACAACGCTGAGATCCGGTGAGGGCAAAATAAACAGTTCACAGGGAAAGGCTTCCTCCGTGAATCCTTGCAGACACAGAGCCGGGAAACGGCAGCAGTCTCTCACAGACTCTTCCAGAAAAGAGAGGAAACGTTTCCCAGTCTTTAGTCAGGCTAGCGTAACTTTGAGAATAAAACCTGATGATCTCTAAGAGAGCAGCCAAGGGTGCCCTTAGAACCAAGATGTACAGCCAGATGTGAGGGAGCTAAACGCAAGGACGCGGAGTAGACCCCATCACCAAGAACACAAGAAGCGTTAAATGTTAAAAAAACAAGCAGGGTGATTCAGCACCCTCACAGAATAAAGACAGAAGCAAAACTGACCGCCTCAATCGATGTGGAAAGGCATTTGATAAAATTTGGCAACATTCACTCATGATAAAAATTTGGAAATAGGAAACTTCCTCCATCTGATAGGATGGGGCTTAAAAAAAAAAAACCTACAGTATAGAGAAGTTGTTTAACACATCAATGTCTGGTAAACAAATTTACTACATCAAGTAAATGTCTAGTAACTATGTCTAGTAAACAAATGTCTAGTAATAAAAATTAATGCATCAATGCTCACAAAAAAATCTACAGTAAAGCATCATACTAGATGGCAAAGCAAAACAAAATCCTTCCTCTTGACATCAGGGTCAAGATAAAAATCATTTACTTTTATCTTTTCCTTTCAGTAGTCATATAAGGGAAGTCCTGGCCAGCGCGCGCGCACACACACACACACACACACACACACACACACACACACACACACACACGAGGCATAAAAATCAAAAGGGAGAAATGTGGGGCAGTGGGTGTGTTTAGTGGTAGAGGGCTTGCATAGCATGCTAGAGGTCTGGGTTCCAAACCCCAGTAACGGGAAAAAGCAAGGAAAACCA